TCTTAACCATCACACCACTCGGCCGGCCCCCGCCTCTGCTACTTTTAATGTCCCCTTTTACTCCTTTTAGTATTTATTTTCTGCCAGTCAACAATTCCTTGTATTACATTTTCCCTGTTCAAATAACTGGTGTGATTTCGCTCTCCTGACTGGACCCTGTGTACTTTTACATGTCTTATTTTTGGTGTACAATTATCTGAATTGATAAATACACTGATGTGTGTTATTAAAAGATCACGGACATATTACCTCTGTTACTGTAACAGATTGTTTCTTGCTAATTTTAAACTAGAGACAGTCACTATAAAGCAGGTCCCATCTTCTACAGGTTCAAAGAATTCCACAGTGGCCCATGAATTTGATTAATTTGTGGAATACAGTAAACAAAAGTAAAAAAAAAAATCCCCACCTTATGGATCTCACATTGTTGTGGTGGTAACATCACCACAGTAAGACTAAGTAAGATCTGTTTGTGCTTTTTAAAGACTTTCAACATCTCAAAGTGGGCTTATGCCCGATTTTACCCCAGGACTGAGCACAGTGCCAGGCTCACAGGTGCTCAACAAGTATCTGGTGAAATGGTGTATGTTGACAACATGGTAACCTTGACAGACTTATTGATACAATGCTTACAGCCACAAGGGGTTGACCAGAATGACAGCCCAGCCTCTGTTGCTTGCCTAAGGCTTCTACAGCCATTCAGCTGCAAACCCTTTGCTCAGGATCTTTGTTCCAGGAAGCCAATTAAACAAGAGATTTCATGGTAGAAATGCTACCATTTCTAATGGGTGTGTGGGGTGGTGGGTAGCAGAGAAGCAGCAACTTTGAAATCTCAGGGGACCAACGAAAGGTTCTGGGCAAACAAACCTCTACTTAAATTGGCACTGGTTTACTTCATTTCTCTGTGTATCAAACTGTCCTAGAATGTTACCTCACAATAACCCAAGAGATAGGTTTTATAATATTCATTTTATTGATGTGAAAACTGAGGGTTTGTCTAAGTAAAATAACTTGTGTTACAACTACAGTAAAACCTTGGATTGCGAGTAACTTGGTTTGCGAGTGTTTCGCAAGACGAGCAAACATTTCTATTAGGTTGGTACCATTACTTGTAATGGCAAAACCCACAATTACTTTTGCACCAACCTAATAATACATTTTTAACTTGGTAAACAAGCGATGTCTTGCAATACAAGTAGTTTATTTCCGGAATGAATTATGCTCGCAATCTGAGGCATTACTGTAATTTGAAGTATCAGAATATGCATCTAGGGCTGTCTTACTATGCCGTGTCTCCTCTGCTAGTTTGTCTCAAATTGGCGTGCTGAAATGACCTAGAAACAACACGGTCCCCATGGATGGAAGGGCCTTTGATGTCCTTATTTTAGAAGATTCTAATCTTGTTCCGAAACTTACGTTCTTAGTATCTCAGATGAAACAAGCTGTTTTTATGTGTCCCAACCCACTTGAATACACTTTAAGATGCCCCATGGCATGAGACCACTCTCAGATTTTGTCTAGTTGCTTTTCTTAATCATAGTCCAAGTGGCTCTGAGAGTATGTGAGAGGGGTACATTAAAAAAATTAGAACATAGTTAAATTTTAAGCTACCCTGATTACAAAATTAAGACAATTCCTCTAATAATTTTTTTAAAAATCAGATTATTTTTACTAGAAGAAAAATCTAGCTACTATTTTGATAATTATGATTTAAATAAAAGAATGATATAGGTACAGAATTAATAAATTATGTTTTGGCAGTTCAACAAAGTACACTGAAGAACATAAAAATTCTTTATTTAACCTAATCCAGCCAGTATTGAGATAGTTTTCTATATTAAAGACGTTTAAAAAAAATTACATGCTTGATCACTGCACTGTATACCTGAATCTGAATAATATTGAACGTCAACTATAATTTAATATATATATATAGTCACGGGATATGGAGTACAGCATAGGGAGTAGAGGCAAGGGAATTTTAACAGCTTTATACGATGTCAGAGGGGTAACAGATTGGGGGAGGGGATTATCACTTTGCGAGGGGTGTAAATGTCTATTACATTGTTTTGTACACCTGAAACTAATTAAAAAATAAAACCTAAAAAAAAAATTACAGCACAGTTAGCAAGGCAGTGACTAATTAAGTCACTAAGTTTAATTCTATATTCTTCACAGTCATTTGATAATCATGTAACGATAAACAATATTTTCAGCCACTTTGGAGATAAATTAACTTCTACAAAGAGAATTCTAGTTTTCACTGAATTTCATAAGAGGTTTAAAACATTAAAGTTTATAGAAATAACACAGTAAAGCAATGTGAAAATAACCTAGAAAATACAAAGTATACCCACCCACCCCAAAAGTCTACAGCATTCCTTTAATCCCCTAATGCCTCTTTTACTTTTTCATTCCCTTTTCCTAGAGGGTGAACAGACTATTTAGCAATTAAGAAACAACCGCTCTGCAGGGGCTATTCTGAGCCTAACGTTCCTGTTTCTTTAATTTCTCAGTTAATCCTAGAAACAGTCTCTGAGGTTAAGTATTATTGTACTTGCATTTCAGAGATGGAGAACACTGTAGCTGAGAGAAAGTTAAGTCACTTGGCCAAGGTCAAGTTATTAAAAGCAGAGTTAGCATTTGAAGCCAAGTCCATCCAACATGAGTCAGCTTGTGTTCTTTTGTTGCTTCATGTGGTGCAGACCACCTTTCTGAAGGGGCTAGTATACAGTATTTCCTAAACTAAGGCTCTTTAGATTTAAAAGTGTTCGGTTCCCGGGCTAGAGGCCACTCTCAGTCCCCAGGCACTTGCAATTTCCTCCCCACAGCCCTAAAAAGCCGTCTCCCCTGCCCCCAAAGGATTAGAGTTGTTTCTCTGGCCCTCACAAGCCCTGATGCCAATAAACCCAAGCAGCTACTTCCCCATCCTAGGCATAAAGTAGTAAATGGGGAACTGTGTGCTTACATAACTTTAGTAAGGACTCCCTGAAAGCTGTTTGTTCTATGTAACAAAATTATGCAGGAAGTGTGTAGTGTCTTTTCATCTTGAAAATGAAAGAAAAGCCAATATATTTTATAATTACAGCTATGTAATCTATTTTTATATATAATCATAGATATTTCCCCTACTGTAGCAGTGTTCTTTATAAGGCTTACTATCAGTCAAATATTCCCTTCCTCCCCAAATAATTACAACTTTGAATGTTCAATAGCCATTCACATCAACTTCATGTTATAACTCAAAATTAAGACATTCATACTATAAAAATGTACCAGTCTTAAATTACTAAAGTTAGCATATATTATTGTAATCTAACATAGCTCAATCTATATTTGCTACCCCCTAAAGAGAAGTGGCCACTTCAGTAAGGAGAAACGTTTATCATCATGCATTAGATATTATAAACAAGAAAATAAACAGGGTTTTTGGAACTATCTTTAAAAATTTTAGTTTTAATGAAAATAACTGCAAGACTATTCAAATTGCTGAACAATATTAAAAGGGCCACCACTGAAAATGGCTTAAAATAAATAATTGCTTTTGAAAAATATAAAACTAGTCAGTGATTATTAAGGTACTACCTTCATCAATATGACAAGCAATTAAAATCTAAAATCATTAGTATTGAGTTTTTTAATAATAAATTGACTTAAGCCAAAAACAGTGACCTCAATATTTACTCAAGACTTATTTTCATAATTATTTCCTCACTGACTGGTGTAAAAACAAAGAGCTCAAGGCCTCACCTTGGTTTACTCACTGCTGGTTTTCTATGTGTTGAAACTAGACTGTAGACTACATAAAAGCAGGAACCAAGTCTGTCTCTTCACCACTGTGTCCCATAGCACTCTGCACAAGGCATGCACCAATTGGAGGGGATCACCAAAGACCTGAATGACTGAATCAGTGAAAGACAAGGGTAAAATAACTTTATTGATTTTTTTGCAAATAATTTTCTGTGCTCAAACTACTATAAACTGGCAGCTCCAATTTCTAGAAATATGGGTTTAAAAACCTTACTCTAGTGATGGAAGGACCTGATGTGTCTCTGTGTCTGTGTCTGTCACTCTCTCTCTCTCTCTCTCTCTCACACACACACACACACACACACACACACACACACACACACACAGTAATTAAGACTGCATGAGTCAAAATTACATTATGAACTATGAGATGTCAACATTATATAAATAAAATTTAATAGTGAAAAAGTGATCTGGAAGCCCTGTGAATTTTTACCCTACACATTTTGGAGGACATCACATGGGTTAAGAAAACAAAATTGCGTTTGTTCAGATAATTATTTGAATGTTTACATACATTTTTGGTTATTTATTTATAACTAATTTATTTTACATTTCCTCATATTAACATATACTACTGTTTAACATGAAATCAAATTATGCCAGTGAGAAAAATCCTCATAGTACCTTCATTGAGTTGCTGATTCTAAGAAAACACTGAACATGAATATGTACAAAAAAGGCATTTGAATAAAACAGCATGTGTACTTCTCAATATTTGCATTTGATCTTTACATTTCTGTCGAGAAAATATGAACAAAGCCCAGGTTTACCATGCTAAGATAATGTTCAGGTGACTGCCATAAAAGAAGTACATACAGAACAATGAAAACAAATTACATCCTTAGGTTCCGTGATTACTGAGAGGATTTCCCCTGCCCTAAGTGCTTTTATTATATTTCTTAAAAATAGGAGAGCAGCAGCTTATCACAGGTCTCCACTACTGTGATTAATGATGGAATCAAAACAACACAACAGACTCATAAGGATGAGAGGACTGCAGAACAACCAGAAGTCAAAGTTTTATGCTTCTTCTTGCTCTGGATAATTTAGAATTTTGCGGTGTGCCTGACGTAAATATTGCTGCTGTTTGAAGTAAACCTTGAATGCTCCTTTTATGGCAACAAAAGCAATTCCACCCTAAAATAAAAAGGAAAATGAGCTTTTTACAAGGCAGATTTAGAGAAACATAATAATAAAAATAAGTTTATGTAGATCACAAAAGACATAGGCATTGATGCTAATACAGATGACTGTAAATGAAACAGTTCTCTGTTCTACTAGGGGGTGAGAAAGGGAGAGACACTATAGGTAACAGGTCAGAGATGACTTGCTTGTTTTCCTATCTGAGTAATCTTCCTTCCACTTTGCTCTACATCCATTCTGGTATGTCAGGGAGAATGCCAGGGCACAATGTGCAGGCTGCCATCAGAGGGGAAATGAAAATAATAATAATAATAATAATAATAATAATAATAATAATGACATCAAACAATATGAGGGCTATGTGCTAGTTCTTTAAATGAATTATTTCATTTAATCTTCACAATAACCTTGAGGTAGCCACCATTACTATCTCCATTCTATAGGCACAGAAGTGAAATCTGATTTAGGTTTCTCAGCAAGGCAATATCTGCGATAGGATTTGAACCGGGCAGCCTGACCCTAGAGCAGGAGCTCTTCACCCCAGTCTCACTGGCAAGAGGATGGGTGTGCTGACTCATGCATATTCCAGGAGAGAAAGCACCCACAGCAGTTCCGGAAGGCCGGACCGCCTCAGCGGATCCTTCCCTTTTTACTGTTATTGGATGACAGTGGGGATCAAACAGGTTTAAGGCACAGAAGCCACGGAATATTTATATAGTCCTTTTGGGTTTCTTTTAAAACAAATATACAGTTCATTCTCTTTTGTATAGTCATTTGAAAAAAGTAATATTAAATCCATCTTACCAAGATTGTCCTTTGTAAATTAGAGTTAACACTACTAAACATCAGTTTACCAACTATTGTCGCAATAGTAGGAAAGACAAGGGCTCCACACAAAATTCGGGTGGCAGAGACGTGATCTGCTAAAGGATTAGCCTCAGCTGGAATTCGAGGAACAGGACAACCAATTCCTAGAGAAAAAAATGCAGCGTATTAGTACTAATAAATTAGAAAAGCTAAAATATCTGCATGCTAGGGTTCTCCACAAGATTAACTTGGCATGCTTGTTACAACCACAATTCAGGGTCTTACCTGGAAATATACTGTTCAAAATTTGTAGTTTATTTGAGTATTTGCGCCATAGTCTAAGCACATAATCCTCCCAGCGAATCATCTTGCCTAATATCAGCATGACAGGAATAGTAGGAAGTCCAATTAAAAGGAATAAAGGATCAGCTCTCTCCATAACATCCAGACCTTCTTTATGACCTACAACCTATGAAACAAAAATAGCATTTGCTGGAATCATTTCCTTATCTAATGAAGGGATGTGCATGCTTGAATTGAGCTCAATTGTTTTTAGAGGAAATGCTAAATGTCAAAAGAATATGGAAATAAAGTTTTAAAAATAAGGTGGAAAGCTATCAGTCCTGATTTATTTATAAGAAGTGTCTCTCATTCAAGGGGGAAAAAAACTCCCAAGTGATTTCATATTATATTAGAACAAAAGCTTTAAAAATAGTTGATTACATTTCAATACAGGGGAAGGGAACCTCTTGTTCTTGCCTCCATTTCTCTTAACTGATTTAGTTAGACTGGGCTATAATTTTAAGTCCTATTTGTCTTGCAGCAAAGACCAGTTTCCCTGCTCTTCCTATTAGGAGGTAAGCATAGCCAGCCAAGGGGCAGAACAGCCCTTTAGGAGATGGACTGAAAGCTCACTTCTCTTTGGCTCTTTCTCAGTGGTGTCTGGAATAGAGAGATCTGTCTGGCTGGCTAAATGCCTGTTCTCCAGACCTAACACTCCTAAAATGCAATTCCAAGGGTCTGGGGATTTGGGGGACTACAGTAAGGAGTTTTGGATACAGGTTCCAGTCATTTTTTCCAATCCAGGAATCTTTGGTTGCCTTATGTAATGGGTAATGAAGCTAAAACAATCTTTCCCCTTTCATCTGGGTCTTGGGACTATTTCTCAATTGGTTTAGATCCCAGAGGGCAAGAAGTACATGATTAATTCATATTTGTGAATCTCCATACTTCCCTTCCCTGCAGAATCCTTTCACTTGCTGACCAATCTTGGCCTTACATTTCTCTCAACATCGCCACTTTGTTGGTGAGCTTCTTATTTTTAACTAGACAATTTTCCTGAAAATTCTCTTTCAAAGGTCTCAAATGATCTCCCTGTAGCCAAAAGTCTCAACTACACAAAAAGTAAACATAGGAAGACAGTGCTGTAAAGGCCTCTATATAATAGTTTTCCTGATCACACTTGAGGAATAAGCCAGGAATAAAGAATTAGAAAGGACCCTGTCTGTATTTTTGATAGGGAAGAGGGAAAAAGAAGGAAGAACAGGAAAGGATGGGAGGGGGTAAAAAAGGTAAGGAAGACTAAAAGCTACCAGGGACAATATATACTCATAAAAGCAAGCTCATGGAAAAATAAATGGGATTTTTTTTCAAAAACGAGATGCACTTTATGTCCGCTATTATAGGTTTTTTTTTTTTTTTTAGGTGGACTACAAGGAGGTATGAAATAAGGTCAAACTGAGAATGGTCAGGGCAAATTGAAATTCTAGAATATCGACTTGATCCAGGTAAAAATATAACAGTATGTGGAGAAGACCAAAATGGGTGCTTTTAAAATTTCAGTTAGGGATATAGCCCAGACTTGCACTTGGTTAACTTATCAACCAACATGTAACATTAAAGGGCAGGAGGCTAGCCTCTTCCAAATGGTCAAAAACCATGGTATCAGTACCTGACACTCTTCTGTGTCTCCAGGTAGAAACCTAACAATGTTACATCTTACATGTGAAATCGTTCTGAGTTGCACTAAAATGAAACAGTCTGGTTCACAATAGTTCATACACCCTAATTCCACACTGGTGGCAAAGTAGACTAGCCCAGAGACTGTCTTTACCTATAGTGCTTTTGCAGGACATTCCATTTTTGTATCATTTTATTATTTTCAATATAATGATCACTTTAAAGTTATAACTAAATATAATTTAAACATTGTTAAAGTATTAACAAATAAATTTAGAAATTTGAAAACTTCCTCTGTTGGGTTATATGTTCTTTTTAGATTTTAGGGTTTAGAAATATAAAGTAGAGTGAATATTCAGGTATGGATTATAGTTAGGGAAAGTCTATTCCTTGTGGATAGTAGTAAAAACCTTACAACCAGGTGTTTAAGAATGAGAAAACAAAAAAGGAAATAGAGCCAACAGTGAGCAAAGGCCTATTGTCCCACTTGTCACAGCTAAAGCAAAGAGATGCTCTGTGCTCAAGCTGAGGCTCACTGTGCATGCCTACTCGCATGCACGCATTCATTCAACTCAATACTGATGACGTGCCAGACACAGGTTTAGATGCTGGGGATTAAAGGGTGAGCTAAATGGATGTCTTCTGGAGGTAAGAGACAATCAAATCAAACAAGCATGCAAATATAAATGCTATAAAGAAAATAGGATAGTATAACACCCATAGTATACTATTATACCTGTGCAACTATAGTCAGACTCAAGGACAAAAAATGAAAGGTGAATTAAGCAATGAGGCTGATTTAACTTTGGTCAAGCAAACCCAGCAAACCTTGTGTATGGTCATGTACATTCTGGTTTCATGTCACAAGATTTAAAAACAGATTATTTTTAAGAATTCAATTTTGGGGTGAGATTCAGGAACTGTAGAATGAATTGCCTTTAGAGGTTTAGAGAAAGGTTTGTTTGTATGTTTTTCTGTTTAAGAGCTAAAAGCTAGATTTTCATATCCAGCTAGGCCTGCAGTTCACCAATGCTGAAAAGCTAAGAGTTTTATTAAGTCCTGGTCTTTTAAAGCACTGCTCATTAGAATCCTACTTTAATGGGAGGATGAAACAGTGATGAACTAATAGGTTTTCTTAGTTAGAATTTAAGATAATTAAGTGTAGTGTAGTTAAGAATGGACAATGCGTGTGGGGGTTGCCTTTATACTAGACGCAAAAGTGGAACTAGGTTGGATACTAAGGTTCCACTGTTCCAGGATAACATGTTCCAGCTGCCTGGGGGACCAGGTCTCCCTTAAGAAACCCTAGATTAGGGACAGGAGTCCTAATGCTTCTTCCTTGCCTAAGGTACTGGACATAAACTCTCCAAACCTATAAACTAGGAATAACTGATAGTATCTATGTCACAAGATTGTTGCAAGGATGAAAAGCATCAGTGATTGAAAGGTGTTCAGCCAGTGCTGGGGGAAAAAAGTTAACTATCGTGTTGTCTTTTCAATAACAATGTAAGTGGAAGGTCTCAATATGCTTCTTTTTGGGTAAAAAAAAAAAAAATGTGTGTGTGGAAGAACATATTTATTTTTTCTTGCATATGCATAAAGAAAGTCTGGAAGAATGTATATGGAACTTATAATAGTGGCTTCCTGGGAAGGAGATGGAGTACCTGAGCAAATGAAGGACAGGAGTAAGAAGACCTTTCACTAGATAGCTTTTTATGTATTTTCTTATTTTTAAGTCATGAGAATGTTATTACTTGTTTAAAATAATACATTTTAAAACTCCTAACAAAATCTGCTTAACAGATCTTCACATCGAAAGTAGTATCATTGAATAGAGTAAAATAGTGAACCTGCATCACTGTCACTGCTCCGTAAGTCACAGCTGTCCAATAGATAGAGCCAACCATTATTCCCGCTGCAGCAAATGGACAGGCTTTTGAGATAAGTCTATCTGCAAGATCCAAGACGTACACAACTGGACCTATGAAACAAAGATAACAAGTAAAGTTTCAACACAAGACAAATTAAAAAAAATGACTTGTTTAATATTTTTCATAGATCTAAAATATTTTTATAAAGTTGGGTGTTCTGATGCTTTAGAAATAATTGTGATGTGATGGGAACCTAGATTTGAATAGATTTAGAATTTCTCAGTCATATGCATGAATAGCTAAGTTTTACTTCCTAAATTCTAAGAAATCACTTCTTTAAATTTTTACCTTTATCATAAACCAAAGATTAAAGCCTCAAACACAGTTACTTCTTATAAAGGAAATATCGATAGTTCTCTTACTCTTTTGATCACATAGGCTACTACAGAATGAAATGGCTATTTCAGCTTGCTCTTCCCAAACAGTTCCTGGCCATAATTAGATTTTCTAGTACTTGGTAAGAATAACCCTTCTTTGACTTCACTCATTACTTCCTTGGCACAGTGTGTGAAGGTTACTAAGGCTATTTTCTTATAGTTACACAAAGTCAATCTATCTTACTTTGATTTTCAATATGCTGTACTTAGTTGAGTAGTCTCTAAAAAACTTCTAATGATCATGATACCAGTTTTTATGGCATTCTAACAGTTGTGCATGCCAATTATGCTTCTATTATGTGCTTAATTGTGAAATTTGGCTACTACCTCCCTCTGGAATTTATTTGGAATAGCTACATTTGGAGGTATTCTAATAACTGTCATTAAGCCCAATATAATTTAGCTCCAGAATTTTCCATAATAGTGGAAAGGTCTTAGGCCTAAATTACAGCAAGGCCTAAAGAACTGAATATCTAAGTTTAACCAAACGAATAGGAAACCCTGATTTAGTAATCATCGTATTTGTTGAAAACCCTCTACATACAACCTATTACTTGAGACATTCTCTTAGAAATGTGTAAAAGTTATTGTCTACCGTAGGGGAGCTTACAATCTACAGAATGATGCTGTACACAAAAACAACTTATTTTCATTGTACAAAGAAATTTGCATAGCAGTATGATAAAATAATTAAACATATAAGAACAAGCATTCTTCTACGGAGCCTCTGATCAATACTTCCCCGTTCCCTGGAGTCAGTAATATCATTAGTCACTGTATAAAGAGACCACATTGTGAAGTAGAAAGAACATTAGGAGAGACATGAAAGGGCCTATGATTTAAATTTAGCATATTTACTTACCATTGTCAAATTCTAACTTAAATAACATTTACAACTATGACCAAGCATCTTGGGACCAGAGATAAAGTAAGCCTAGTTCAGTGCATATTGACTCTACATCCTAATAATAGTTAGTATTTCTTGAGTGTCTACATGATACCAAGCACTGTGCCACAGGCATTACATGCATCATTATTTAATCTCATAATGTAGGGTTTAATCCTTAAAATATGCAAATTTGCTGAGTTAAGTTTATAACTTCCTCGGAAGGCACAATAAATGTAATTTTAGTGAGTCACCAAAGATCCTTTAAATGATGGTACTAAAAGTTAAAGACAACACTGCAACTTTCATATTTTCTGATAATTCTTTAATCAGGAAATTGAAGCCACATGAAAACAATTATGGACTCTACAGCACATCACACCTATCTAAAGTCAATCCTTTCACATACGTATATACTAGACGCCATCCTCTCTCCAACTCAAAGCCACAGCTCCAGCAATTCTCTCCTACTCTCCTACGTCATTACCCACCCCCCTCTTTGCTGGGTGATTTCCATCAAGCAAACATACCATCATTCTATCATTATTTCTTCTATCATCAAGAAGCTCTTCCTCCACTGCTCCATTTCTTTGCTCCCTTTACAACAAAATTCATCAAGAGACGTATCTGTTTTCAATCTCTCCTTCAATTCTCTCTTGAACCTACTCCACCAAAACTAATCATGAAGGTTACTAACAATCTACACATAGCTAAATCCAATGGTTTAATCTCAGCCTTCCTCTTATTTGGCCTATCAGCAACATCTGGCACAGATGTTACCTTCTTCCCACGGTATGGTTCTTCATTGCATTTCCAGGACATCACCATCTCTTGGCTTTCTTTCCATCTCACTAGCTACTACTAACATGTCAGTCTCCTTTCTTGGTTCCTCCTCTTCTTGACCTCAGTGAGGCCCACCAACTTCTACCTCACCATACTCCCTATCTGATTACTGTTCTAGCACTTATCATTTCATATGCTCTAATTTACTTATTGTTTCTACCTACTAGAATAGGGGCTGGGAAACTATGGTCCATGGGCCAAATTCAGCTGGCTGCCTGTTTTTGTAAATAGTGTTATTGGAGCACAGCTACACACAAAGCCTATGTCTGGATTTTTTGGGTTTTTTTACAGAAAAAAGTTTGCTGACTCTTGAACTACAACAAAAGCTCCAAAGGGAAAATCTCTAAGTCTTCCTTTTTCATTATTGTGCACAGAGCCCAAGTAATAAGACTATTTTCTGCTATCAGAATTTATAAGGAAACAAGGTATTTTACATGCTTCCAAAGTAAATATGTAAGGGCATAAAAAGGTTTCAACCTTCTTCCCCTCCTCATTCAACCAGGCACTTGGCACTATCTACTGATAGAGTAAAACAATTTAATTCCTAAAAAAGTTGGATGAAACATAATTCCTAAAAAGTAATCCATCACTACCACTTTTACCTACCGTGAACATAGAGCATCTAGAGATGTTTGAATTGTCTTTCCTTTAAAGGTCTCAGAAAGTTCTAACACAATGAGCTCAATTTTCAAGCTATTTGGTAAATAAAAACAATCACTGAAGTTCTATGAAGGATAGTCCCTATATCATACCCCTCCTATTAAGAAGCTCATCATGGGTTTCTTACTATCCCATGCCTTGAGGGGTCACAAAAGGAAAATAGCAACAGTCATTAGATTCTTCTGTTGTCAAATTACAGCACAAAGAGTTATGGAAAGTAAGGAAAGGCCAGACTCTAACCCTTTGAAAACTTCAATTCTAATGGGGAAGAAGTATGAATAAATGTACCTTACAAGTTAAATATATAAGGGCATAAGAAGGTTTCAATGTTTTAAAAAGGCATTATTGAATTTTTAATGCCTCAGTGGACTTCACCACTTATATTTTCAACAGTACTGTATTTACACAATGGATGGCAACTGAAGCAGCTTTGTATAAATATAAGTTTTGAAAATCCAATATTTAAAGGGCACCAGGGAAGTTTGCAATTAAAATTAAATCTGTGAATTCTTTTGTACAATAAAGAAGCTTTTGTAAAGAAAATAACCACACCCTAATACTTTGGGTAAATTCAAATTTTCACATTTCAGATCTGATATCAAACAGTGAACTAAGAAACGATTGTGGAAACTCCTAAGTCCATGTCTACTGAAAAAGAAGTAATCAATTTTACCTGGCAGACATTGCAAATGTAGATTTGGGGCTGCTGTGATTTAAATTCAAGTCTATACGTACGCATAGTGTTAAAGGCATATCTTGGGAGGTAAGAAATTAATGAATGAAGGACAGGTAATACTGAGTGTTCAACATCTGTCATTGCTTACAATAATACCAAAAATTCCTAGGACCTTTCTCACGTATAGGAAGGTATCCTCAAAAACACTCCAGACCGTCAATGGAATTGTAATAGATAAGTATGATATCGGGGGTGGGAGGGCAGTTGATGGGGGGAGGGAGGTTGTTACTTTGTGCAGAACGAAGTACTGCATTGTTCTGTACACATGAAACTAATAAAAAAAAACAAGAAAAAAAAAGCACTCCAGACCAATTCTCGGAAAATAATTTCTGTATGTTATAAGTGCTACAGTTTCTAATACAGAACATAATTTAATGAGCATATATAGGTGCTTCATAAGATAACCTGAGAAGATAATAGTTCCCATGAACTCCAAGGTTTCCATTAAGTTGCCAATGGTTTATAAAAGAGATTTAACAATAGACTGTTTGTAGAAGCTACTCATGTTTCCAGGTTTTTGGTGAAGGTTTGCTTTTTACTTTGCATTGAACTAGCTCTGACCTAGACCAAACTGAAACGCTAATTTGCTAAGCCAAAATATCAACCCCACTTTCAAATTCAGAACCATCCAGAATTGCAAATTTTGGAGGCAAGAGTCCAAAAACATAGTTCTAAACTTCTCTTCTTGCTCCAAGTCTTTTTGTTGCCCTCTATTTCTGGAATGTCCTGTCTCTATTTTGATTAAGTCTGCATGAAAACCCAAATTCCCAATGAAACTAACCTAACCTGGTAGAGGTTGACTAATTGCTCTACCCCACCCTGTTCATGTCCCAACAGACTTCCTTTACATACTATCCCACAAAATGCACTTACCCCTTTGCTTGTGCATAATGTTAGTACTTTGTGTTCTTGTTCAGTGTTTGTTCAGTTGTCTCAATATCCTTTATGTCTGTCCATGTCAGCATCATCTTAGATTGAAAACTCCCAGGGGACAGGGGCCATGTCTGTTTAACTCGTTTTGTACAGTGCCTAGGATAAAACCATGTACAGATAGGTGCTTAAAAAATGCTCTTTGATGATGATTGGCATCACTCAGGGACTCTCTAGGCCACAGCTATCTCAGCACATGGTACTTTGCAGTATATTGGGGCGCTTTGGTTTGTTCCACAGGGCACCAGAAAATAATGGCACAGGACCTAGCTGTAGCACTCTGTGGCAAGTATTTGACTTAATCCGTTGTTAAAAAAACAACTTTTAAAAAAGGTGTTTAATTATATGGTCCCAAGTCAACAAATATAGATTTTGAGGACATGAAATAATACCACAGCAACCAACCCAATTAAAAGTTAAAAGTATGTGAGAATCCTGATGGGATAAAGAATTTTAACTCTCTAGCAGTCAACATTGTTTTTAAACACTAGGCTTTGGAAGCTACATCTAAGAGCCTCAGACAAGCTTATGTAAGTTTCATCTTTGCTTAACTTGTAGACTGAGATTTTACCTTTTTTGTGTAAGAGCAAACATCCTGCAAACTCAGGCTGTAAGTTA